AAAGGCGTAAAGGGTACATCAGAAACGCGAGGTTTTAATTCCATTAAGAGTGGACATGATGGGGAGGGGGTATCTTGTTTTCGTAAGATGTGAGCATGTGCGTCCACGTTGTTGCTCTGCTTGTATGCTTGAATGTGTGCACATGTATGTTTGTGCACTACAAATAACGCCTATGCAAATGCGCAGGTGATGTTTGTACACCCCTCTCACCTACGCACTCATGCATGTACCCTCGTACATGAGAGAGAGGAAGATGAATAAACCTCATTCCGATGACTCACTCACCCCATCATCAACAGTAGCATCACTACCTCTTTGCGTACCTCTACAAGTAAAAATTCCGCACTATCACAGCATTAGAGCTAAGGTCCATGGCTTGTCGATCGTGTTAAGGGAGTGGGGTCACTTAATGTACCTTTACCGTCTGAGTTGGAGTCTCACGCTAGTACACTTTGCACTACGTCAGCTACTAAATTTCCATGGCCCCTTTGTGAAGGGTATTGAGGTGGGCACGTCCCATGTCTGAATTTTAGTGATTGGTCAAATGATTGATTGAGTTTCAGTCCTTAAATGAAATCTTTGCAGTCTGTTGGAAGCGCCAACGTCTTGGTATTTGTGTGTCTTTGACACATCGATGTGACGTAGATTCTCATGCAAACACGTCCTCATTTGTCATATGTTTAGATGGGAAACATTATATACGTTTGGCTTTTAATTTATGTGGCATATTCTAGTCTCATTGTGTTCTCCTGGTCGATTAGTCACAAAGACGCGATAGAACATGTCAATGTAAACAGAAGACCACCATGATGAAAGACATCAATTTGCTACTGGTTTGGCCAACATTGCATCGCCTTAAATTAACTGCCCTGCTTCTAAATTACGAATTTCCCAGGTCAGCTGGGTTACTTTGACACCGTGTCAGAATGCCGAATATCATTTCCCACCAGGGCACATTGAAAACGTATCATGTAGGTGGGGCTAAATGCGCAGCCTATTTGATGCATTAAACCAGTTATCGTAGCTCTTATCACATATAACCACAGATAATTATTTGGCCAGACTTATGAATATTTACCTTTTCTCGCCCTTCCGTTTAGGTCGAATGTTCAGTGGTGACCCCATAGATTACAGAAGAAAGTAGATAAGAGCACAGATAAGTGGGGATATAGCCTTCGTCCTCATTTGACTATCGTCTATGGCACTGTCCATGGTCACCCAATTAATAGAAGCTTCCATGTGACTTTTATTTCTTCATAAATGAGGAAATAGAAATTTACACCGCAGAAAGAAAGCTGCATATTCCGGTGGTGGTAGCAGATACGCTTTGAAAGTAACCCTTTGTCAAGGCAGCACAGACTTAAATTTTGTCCCTCTGCAACCAAATGGATCAGTCCCAACCACTTCTTTTTTATATTTCCGTTGTACTTCCAAAATGCCTCTTTTGCATATGACTGTCTAATGTCAAGTGAAGTTGGCAGTTGCCAGAGTAAATGCCATCAGGGGAGGCGGTATCCTTCTTCCAACTTAAAGTGCGCCATAAATTCTTCCCAAGGACATACTTTCTCGTACTAGGCCTTGTACCGTCTTTTACTAATATCAGCAGTCTTGTCTGTTACCAGGTCCAAGGTACTTTGTGAACAAACTGAACCTTTTCGCATGAAAAGACAGGTGTCTTAGAGGTGTACGATAGTGTGGTAAAGTCCTTTTACCTCTTCAGTCACATGCTTCTATAAATACTACAACCAATTCTCTCTCCTAAGTCAGTTATTTATCTAGCCTAAACTGCCGTCTTCCAAAAGTATGCTTTTTTAATGCTAGTGGAAGAACTGAGAATTAAGTGAACGAGTCCTCATACCAGTGCTATATGATCTGATAACTCAAGCCTGTCGATCTCGGTTGTTATTATTGTCATCATGACAGGATCATCATTCTCAACGTAATGCTTTTATATTAAAGCACTTGCCTGGGTCCTTTTATATTACGTTAGCATGGAAGAAAATTTGACTATTTTACCATTCTTAGAATCTAGCTTAACTCGGTCCTTGCTTGCCTGCTCTTTGACATGGCTTTTACAAACAGAGGAGGCTAATAATATGAAACAGTTTTGGGCAGTTCTGCCGGAAATTTCAAGTACTGCTTCGTCCAAGGTTCGATTTGAAGCCACTGAAGAATTAACCAATCACAAGGGACGTTTGTGTAGAGTAAAAAAAGATGTTGTCTCATTGAGGTGTAGAATCTTGCACCATACACAGAAAGGCGTATCATGGAGATCAACTAGGGGGCCGTCGTCATGAGCGAGATGGTGTGAGGCCAAAGTGACGAGTAGGCTTTCAGGGCTTCCTTACAACACCGTATTTTGTGTGGAGTGAATGCCCCTACATCTACTCGAGGTTGAGTCATATGCAGGTACCGCCCACAACACCAGAGTGGTGACTCATAGAAGCACTGTTTCCTGTCCTATTGTGCGCGCAGACTTTTTATGCCATAGGATGCCGCGTTCGTACGATGCTACACCAGTGACTCATTTACCAGTCTGGGGTGTCTCCGATTGCCCCATCGAAGGGGATGCAACCACCGGTGTTCGTGTTTCTACCACGCCATAGTAAGGGATCTGTAATTCATCGCCTGAGGGGAGGCCTTAGTCATAAAAACATGCCTAGGTCACGAGGAGGAAGGATTGTATTAAAAGTTTGAAGTTTAACACTCGACATCCTTAAGGTGAATCCCTTTTAATGCTAGAGTCGACTTTACTTACCACAATAATGTCGTCTTTTATTTTACATTAGATTCACGTAATTCAAAAGCACTTTACTCACATTGCTGAGACACCCACATGGACTTGATAGGTTTGGGGTAATGGGTTCCTTCCTTGCTACTAATCAACTCCCTTTCCTTTCACTCTTGCTCCGTTGTTCCCAACGGTACGATAGGAATGCTGAGCGAACTAATGTCGACTTACCCTCATTTCACGCAATGATAATGATAGAATTATTTGAATCAAAGGTTAAGTTTCTATCAATGGAGTTTGAGTGTTTTTTGAAATCCGATGTTTAGATTTTACTGAAAACTCAGTTTTAAAAATCGTTTTGAATTTATCTTCGATCCCATTATTCACCTCGCTTAAATAGTAACATCAGTCTTGGTGGTACCACCCTCACTCCTTCCACATTGTATTTTAACGGCCTTATGCAATGACTTAAAAATGTTAGTAGACCTAAGAGGTACCGTCAAAACAACTTCATCGGTCACTGTCATCTGCCTTAGTTCTTTCCAATTGTAAAGACTAATTGGGGTTGTGCAAGTAAATATTCTCCTCGCCGCATGTTTGCAATTTCTGCCAAATGTCAGGTGTATCTGCATGAGCTTCTGTGTGTCCCAATCTATTTTTCGTCTCCAGGATTTGCATTGCTTAATTAATGTCGACTATTTTACGCTTCGAACGACGTTACCACCTTGATGGCCGCTCCTACCCTCGCACATTTAAGCTCTCGCTGCACCACGGCAGACAGAGCAACAAGGGAGGATCGGGGAAAGAAAGATGAACAGTTGGACGAATGAATAGGCAAATCGGCGCATTTTTGACCGGTGCATTCTCGAGCTGAGTTGCAGCTCAAACATACCAACCACAGTGAACAGAGCTTTAGTAAAACTTGGACTGATACCTTATCATAGCACCAGAGGTGACCTCCGTTTTTTGCTTGCTGATTCTAATAATCCATAATATCACGTGATTGGTGTGACGTGGCTTAGGTCACTGATTTTGGCACCTAATCTTTTCATAATGGATTCTTGACGTTGTGATCTCTACACCTTTACTGCTATGGTATCTATTGGGGTCAGAGGGCAGAAGGGCTTATTTTACAAACTCACTGTTATGTTTTATGCCATCAGTGGTTAAATAGCTTCTCTCAGACTTGTGCTCTATTTTGCGTGAACCATTTATTGAAAAGTGTAATTTAAACTGCTTTGCTAAAGGTGTTCTGCCAATGTTATCCCATTCGTAGCCATAAGATTCATGGAACGGACTGATGAAATGAGCATTCTGATCAAGGGAGTGGAATTAACTCCTGTCAAGCGCCTGAGGTCATTGCAATCAGACTACTTCATTTTTCCATTCACGCTTACTGTCTATGCACTGCAGTACATCTAGTCTTTACGTCGCTTTACCCGTACAGTCTAATTGTGAACGAATAGCGTTATACATAGCTTGCGTCTGTATACCGTTTGCAGAGGCAGAAACTGGTGGCTACCTTCACCCACCTTAGCTACTCTAAGCAAAAGCTACAGAGCCAGCTGATTAGCCTGCTAGGGTAGTGATGGTGGTAGTAAACTTGATTTAGGACTGGTGTGATGCCCCACCTAGACAGAATTTGAAAATGCCCGGGCAGAAGCAATGAGTCAGCAGCCATTTACCGGCACGTGTCCAATGGACTAGACCGGCCGTAGCGCATGCACACGCGCCCACGCCTGCAGCAGTATGCACAGTCTGCGTTCAAGTATCGACCCTCCACACACACACGCACCCACGTACGTACACATGCATGCAGTGTAAACGGGCACGCGTGCGCACGTACAGCCGGCTGTTAGCCGGTGGTGGTTGCACGTGCGCACTCGACGAATAGCCGACAGGCCGAGCAGACGATGACGCAGCGGTGTTTCCACCCTTCAATTGGTTTAAGTGCTAGGTGCGTAAACCAATAGATGTGCAGCAGATGACAGTTGTTGCGGCAAGGGCGCAGTGATTGGCTGAAAGAAGCCAACCTCGTTCGCGTACTGGTTTGAGCCGTAAGAAGTAGTGCGTGTGTTGGTTGTGTGTGTGTCGGGTGTGCGTTGATATTCGCTAACTTGCAGGTCCACTTTTGTCTGTTCAGTGCTAAGTCAACGACGTCGACGACAGCAGCAACGACGACACTCAAAAAGACGAAGGGATTGCGACAGACCCCTCTCTAAATACCATTTATGCGTAGGTGAGAATAAGACTTCTGCGGCATTCCATTATGCCAAGCGCAACAACTGCAAGTTTTGACGACGACTTTATCTCCGATCGGCTGTTAACTTTTATGCATAATGGTGAATATGGTGGCGGATCGAACAGTAGGGCGTCTTTCACGGGAATAAATACGCTCGGACTTCCGACCAGCACACAGAAAACCTTCTCTCTCGACAAAGATAGTGGTCTAGGAACCATGCCATCAAATAGGTCCAATCCGGTAACTTGTAATTCACCCATGCAACCAGTTTCGAATGGTTATGCGGTAATGGCCTCCCCGCATCTTATGAGCAAGTATCCGAGTGGAATTATAAACAGTGCTTTTACTACCCCAAATCCTGGAAACAAGGTGATGGATGACTATCACAGTCTTCAAAATTCACCATTCTACAATCACTATCCCCTCACTGCCACGCTTAAACGTCAAACCGATGCGTCTTGTAGTAACGTTCTCATGAACTCCAATCCTATCGACTGTCCTCCAATGGTGCTTTCAAGACGCCCACCTCAACGAGAGCTCTTTCCTTCCATGCCCATTCCACGTTGTGATAACGGTTGGACTGCCATTAACGCCGTTGCAAGCAGCCAAGCATCCGGACTGTTCATGCAGGACCGTCTGTTCTACAATTCGGTTGCCCAGAAACGCGGCTATATCGTGGGCCCGGAGTTGGATCGTATCAAGGAGAACTCGCGACGTTCCACTAGCCACACCTACGGCCGAATTTCTGCTCACTTTCGCAATCGTTACGGGGAGACGGAGGCTAAGACCAAGGCCTCATATATGCAATTGGGTGTACGAGTACCCAGCAAAGATCACGTTTCCGAGATTGTTGGAAAAGGGGGTAGGTGACTGGTCCGTTTTATCAATGTTCGATCAGATGCCTTATGTCTTTAATTTTGTGATCTCAACTGTTGCTTTTAAAGCTACACTCTGGGATCTCGAATGCCATACTGACAGAGCAACTTATAAAGCCATCGTCACTGCCTTACTGCAGCTTCTGTTTTACCTTTTCGTTCACAAATGAAGTTTCCATGCGAGCACTTTCCCGGACTGTGCTGTTTTAACATACAAAATTGAGTTTTATGCACCAGCTCAATGTTCCATGTTTTAATCACGTGCAGATATCACAAATGGAATGCATTGGCACGAACTCCTAATGTTTGTTCCACAGATCAATCATGCATGCGTGCGCGCTGGCATATGGGCAAAGGCATGTTTCTATTTGGAGTTAGTTTATTTTTATCCGATGCTAGATAGAAGGTGATCAGCTCAAATTATCCGCTGGATGGATAGATGCTCTTGAGTAACCTATCCGCGTCGAAATTATGAGCCATGTGACTAACTTTAATTGCGTCATTAATGTCGCCGCCCTATTTTCCGTTCAGGCCAGAAAATCAAGTTGATTCGAGAGGAGACAGGCGCGTTGATAACTACTCCAGGAGAGTATGAGGACCACGTATTCATAATAGAAGCTCCGCCGGAAATCGCGCTCCACGTTGCCGAGTTAATTTCAACCCGGGCGCAAGAGATCACCCAGAGTAAGATGTCAGCAAGCGAACGTCGCCGTGGCTCCACCAGTTCCATACCTGGTTGCATGTCTCTCTTCACTGTCAATGGATCGGTTGGTCCTTCTGGTGGGACGGGTGGAGGGCGCCTAGTTAGTCGTAGCCCTGACGACCTACCAAACGCATCGCTTCCTTCACCTTCACCGCTCCTCAAATCCACACTCAGTCCTATGACCTCTGGCGTCAGTAGCGGCGTCATTGTCACCTCTGTCAACTCCGCTGAGACCTTTACCTTCAATACCAGCAATAGTAACACTGGTGGCATTGGGAACAGTCTCTCTGCGTCGAGTGCAAACAACGTGGGCAGTTCTGGTGGTCGCATTCTTCTCGCGAGATCGAAGATCTCTGTCCCGCAGGATATGGTTGGGAAGATAATCGGCACTCAGGGTTCGATTATTACCACGATTCAGAAGGACACTGGGACGGAGATCAAAAGCCCTCCTAAGGAGGCCGCTCGTGGTCCTTCCGCCACATCTGAATTCGAAATTTCTGCCTATCAGTCGCTTGGAATGACTTCTAACCAGGCTGCCGAGTGCCGGGTTCAACAGGCAAAGCAGCTTATAGGTCACTTGGTGATGCGTCAGTTTGAGAGACGGGCAAGTGAGGAGTTGGAAGATGGTTCGGCTGGAAGCACCAGTGCGGGAAAAACGCGAAGCAACTCCGCCGGCGATGAGGCAGAGGAAAGCAAAACCTCCAAGACGGTGGCGTGGATGTGGCCCGATGTGGCGCAGATGGACTCGGATGAGGCACGGGAGGTTCTGGATCGGATATTGGCTGAGTCAAAGAGCAAAACACGACGGGCAAAGGAACTGGCAGCTGCGGCAGCCGCTACAACTGCGGCTGCAGCGGCAGCAGGATCGTTGCCAGGCTCGCCTTGTACTGCCGCTGCAGTTGTTGGTGGTGGGAGTGCTAGTGCTTTTGGGATAGACTTCTTCCCCACAGAGAAGGCCGCGGGTTCCTGTCACAACAGTCCCTTCCATCAGGCACGTGTTGCATCGCAGAGTGCAGTCTTTTCGCCATCTTCAGCGAACGTCCCTGCTCAGGTCAACCTACTTGGTGGATTTTTGTCGGAGAGGCGGCTGACAAGTGAGTTTTCTCTAGTGTATTGAGGGCTGAAGTGATCGATAAGACCAGGGAAAGCTTTAGTAGTCTCAAACTTTTATTTGTTCCATCACGTATATTCACCAGCACGAGGGTTTTTTGATTATGTATTTCTTATTTCATAAATTGTGGTGACTACTTTTTTGGCTGCCTAGTTTGCGTACAAGGCATTTGAGTAGCTTGGAACGTTTTTGTTTTTTGCGTTTTGACAAAATTCTCAACGGACGCAATTTAAAATAAGTTGTATAATAGAGCGTAGTTGGACAACTTCCGTCTCTCATAGTTAGGCTCACGGAAGTTTTGCAATTTGGGTATTGTGACCACTTGACCTGTCAAGGGACGTCTATAGATTTCCTTGAGCTCAGCTAAGCTGCTTCTATGCTGAACAGGAATCATATTATCAGACTGGCTGTTAGGCGATGCTGCTTTTGATGCGACTCGGCTGCTTGTTTGCTTTATTTGCCGCTTTGATAGGTCATATACCTCATCGATAAATGATAGTCAAGTTGTAAAGTCCTAATTTGGGTGGAGAGAGGGTTAGTCATGCAATGCATATCTTCAGGATACTGGAGGCTCGCAGTTTATTGCGGTTGGGGTCATCTGGTTTATTTCAATCACATATTTTCCCCTCGACTGATTGGTCTGTAATCATAGGTTAGAAAATGACAGGTGAATCATAGTTGGCGCAAAGTCTATTTTAAATCGATTTTTCAGCTGAATGGACTGACGTCTATTGCCTTTGTGCTAGTCCGTGTTGTTAAACTTTTTGCCCTCATTCGACTGCGTTCCACTTCCGTAGCTAACTTTGTCACATTCTCTTCGAAACAGTAGGCGGTAGTGATGCAAGGTGTGTTGATGCTGTTAACTTTCGATTGAGCGCTCCAAAGTATCTGTCCTTCGTTCAGCGACCATATTCCATGGACGTTACCTAAAATCCTCTTCGTGTCGATAGCACTTTGGTCCATTGCAATGTAGAAGAGCATGATAGCCATTTCTGACTTTTTACTCGCGTATTAAACGTGCTTATGTAAGGTGATTAGCTTAGTTTTGTAATTGCTATGATGCAACATCTTACCGACCAAGGCTCCAGACTGCTGTATTTTTCCGCGGAGGCTGTGTTCGTTTCTCATCCTGCGTTCGATTAGGAAACTGTCGGATGTTTAACCTACTTTAGGCGCGCAGTCGAATTCATTTTACTATTTGGGTCACTAAGAGATGGAGCTGCTAGAAAAATGACAGACCAATTCGGTCTATTGGAAGTTGATGTTTCTGCAACAAGCGGCATCGCATAAGAACTAGAGTAAAAAGGGTTTGAAAGTAGAGAAAATTGAGGGTCGATTCAGTTTCATTCGCTTTGTCATTATTGGATAAGGGTAGACCTCTTCGAAACAGTATACACCAACTTAGGCAAATGTTTGCTCTATGTGGAGTTGTTTAACAATATTTGTCGACTGGTATAGATAATGAGTTTTCAGATCCCACCGCCTGATCGGACTTAGCTTTTTTGTTTTGCACCCGTAGTCTAAACGAGGAGGGAGGCTTGTCTCGATTAGTCCAATCTTGCTCGGTTGTTTTGAGTATTTTGTCAACAGACCTTTTGTAATCACTATTCCAGAACGCAATTAAGCGATGGCTAATTCGGCTAGAGACAACCATTCTTTGTACCATTTTTCAGGTATTTAAGCGTAATGTGATACCTAATCAAACATAGGACAGGATGTTGGATGCTATGGCAATTATTTTTGCTTGTGGAACGTCAGTATGGTGTTTAAAAAGTTTTGCTTCCAAAGATGAATGCAAGGAAGTTGTCTAATTCATTTTTGTAGTTAAGATCATCTAGCATACATTCGGCTTTCAGAAAACAATGTTTGAGCAAACTAGCTGGCTAGTGCTTCCGTGACCTAAGAAATGCACACGGCGCCAAAAGCATAAGGGTACGCTGGTCTGATGTACCGCGCCGTGCTGTTATCGCGTGCTGCGTGTGTGTATGCATTGATCTCGTGTGTGTGCTGGTTCGCAGCATGTGACATCTCGCTCTCGCTAGCTAGTCTTATTAAGGTCGCCGCGCTTGTGCTGTTGCCATAGCAGCAATTACCATCGCAACAGCATACGCATGTGGTATGATGGAGTCGCTCTGGTGAGAACATGTTTTGAGGTCAATTCCCTTACATTCCATCCTGTCTAGCCGTGGACTTTCATCCGGAAGCAGAATTCTCGGAGCATCATGGAATGTGTGGTCCCTCTGCCTCCGCTACGGCTTTCTGGCCCAGCTCGGCTCGCCATTCCTTCTCGGCTGGCGCTCCTGTCGTCGTCGGGACTTGCCATAGTCCTACCCTTCTCCGACGTCACACCATGGCCTCTGAGCATCAGCATAATGCAATGCTGGATAATCTCAAGGCTGCAGGCAGTGACGCTAGCCATGCTGGAGGATTTGACTTTATTAGCACCCTTGAGTCTCTCTGTCTCAGCAATGATGACGGTGGATGCGTTCGCGATGAACTCTCCTATCCACCGGGTTTCGATAACCACCATCAGCACACTGGTTCCGACGCTATGACCGCCTCTTCTGGTTGGCCAGTGACCCTCTTCAAAAACAGTGGAGCCTCCGATGGCCTATCGTCGGAGGGTTCAGGGAACTCGGACGCTGCCCTGCGAAGCATTTGGAGCGATGCTGTTACTACCACTGCCACCAACACCAATGGCAATGGGGGATTCTGTTTCTCCGCTAATTCGTTTACTGGAACTGCTGCGGCGGGGCTGGTAATTCCACCCGTCCCAGCGTCTAATCGATGCGGAGCTATTGGGGAGGGCAGACGTCGGGCTTCACCACCGTCTGGGACTTCTACAGCACCCACTGAGGCTACCTCCATTCCCGCGGTTTAGTTAGATGGATTTGAACATGCAAGACAAGATTGAATGAGAGTGACAGAACCAGAGAGAGCAAGAGAGAGTATTTTCTGATACCAACGTACTTGACGTATAAAATCACTCGGTGTCTTTGTTTATTCTAATCGTAACACTTCCCTCTCCTCGCAAACACGCATACGTACACCCTTGGACCCCCTTTGGATCCGTATTTTTTATTCCCGCCCCCTCTGCCCTGTTTATCTGTCTCTGCGTACCTACTGAACTATTTTTGGTCTCTTGACTGCTGCTAATGATGGTGATTTTCTTCGGTGTTCCTGCATTTGCCTCCCCTTCTCTCCTCACTATTATTAGCCTGCGTACACAAAACTGCCACAGTTAGCCCCGCTCTTCCCTTTCATTGTATTTTTGTGTCTAAATAAGTCCCTCCTCCCTTCCCTCGGTGTTGCATGTCAAGATGTATTCCCATCTCATTCCTCTCCCTCATCATTAGGATCATCATCATCATTGTTAGAGGATGAAGGAAAAATGAGCAGAAAAACAATCATCGAACAGGAGTCATCGCATCTCCCTTTTGTGACATAAAATAACGTGGCAAAAAATATGCGCGCTTCGACAGTTCTTCGTAGTATCTATTTTTATACCGGTTGCCAAGTGAAAGAAAAGTAAGGCAGAAAGAAAGGATACCGGTTTTTGACAGAAGCTTATCCAATCGATTGGAAAAGGGGCTAACGGTGCCGTTATTATTGGTTGAAATGCGGCCATCACTCCCTCTCTCCTTCCCTTTCACCCCTTCCACTCAACTCCATAACGCAACTGAGAACTTTAATTTTTTATCGCTATCGTTTTCTACTTTTGTACCCCTCTACTATAACTACCACTACCAATACCACCACAACAAAACCTCTCGGTTTGACTGAAGGCATAAAATTACTCACGTGTAAGTACAAATGCAACGGACCTTGCAGCAAACATTTCTTATCTTCCTTTCTTCCCTCCTCTTAATGTTCTTTTCTTCCTTTTTTGGTCCTCTGGATTCTTAGCCTTGCAAAGCTGTGTGGCTCCTCTTATGCATTAATGTGTTTCTTGCTGTGCGTCGCGTCTCATCATCACCTTTATGCATCAAGTCATTCGTTCATTCATTCTTTAGACAGGCAGATAGATATGTAACTGTGTAACACAACCACGCACAAGCTACACAATATCAGCAACAGGTTGTCATTGTTATTGGCAGCTTCGACACTTATTCACCCATCGATTGATTGACTCCAGCATTCATCTGCCGTTACATGTGTCTCAGTGTACTTCATGCCCTCGCGCAAACATTCACACATTCATGCGTACACAGGCAAAAAAAGCAAATAGTAGACAAAATAACATTACTATCGTCCACTGTTCCTCCCCCACTGCCCCTTCCCTCTGTTTTTGAGAAATAAATAATGTTAAAGGATGGTGAAGCTCCAAAGTTCCTCTCTTGTTGGATGACGACTGATTCGATTCCAGGCGGTGATGTAGCTGTCCAAAAATGGTCATCTTAGGCTTTGGCCTTTGGGGTAGGTTGTGTTCTCTACCGCAGTTTATGTATTCTTGGGTCGAGCAGGTGAGTTCGATGAGGGCGAGGGTTATTGGGTGTTGACTTGTGACGGTCAAGTGTGTTGAGATAAGAAGAGGGTTGGTGGTAGTCGCTGACCATCTTTCATCTCTAACGCATATTTAAACAGGCGTGTATTACGGAGTAGTTGCTGTGCCAGAGGTCTTATTTACTGTGGGTCACTGGATCGACAACTCATTGCAAAGTCGGGTGGAGTTTGTTTGAAGTAAGCCTTTGTAGGGCAGACGTTGTCATTACACCACCTAAAGTCCAGCTGGCTCTCTTGTATTTATTCGTTGTTTCTTCCTTAAGTGGGAAACTAGGCGTATGATAGTGATGCATGATACCCCTGCATAGTATGTATAGGCTTTGTATCGCTACTTTTAGCATGCGGTTGCTCCTCCTAAGGGCAAACAACCTGGTTTAGGCTCTACTCCACAATCTGCCTATTGAGTCACGTGGTTTCATTGATTGCTTAAATGATTGCTCCAATTGATTCAACAATGTTACCGAGGTAATAATTGAGTTGTGTTTGCTGAGTGAACATTCACTTATTTTGTCAGAAAAAAATTAATGTCTTGGAAATAATCGACGTTTTGCCTTCTCGTCTTCACAGCGTTATAATTGCACTTTTCCCCTTCCACGCGTCTTTGGAACGGAAAATTTCTGAGCTAGCAGGGCTAGAAAAATCACGCCAACTGAATGCCTTCTGATGATTGGTCCACCAATCAGCAACCAGTCATATGCGAGGAGCTGATTCAAGTGCCTCATTTGAAAAAATCGATGATCAGCCTGGCGCGTAGCAAAACACGTGGTTTGGTATTCACTGCGCTGTCAGCTTGCATTACATCTGAGGGTACGTGAGATGAGGCACAGATACAGGTCTTCGTCACCCACAGATGTAGAGATGGCTTAAGGACTAACTAAGGCAACGAACACCCCAAGAAGGCATACAATTCAGTTAGCATCCACATGGTGGTCTCCACGATGGTTCTGTTGGTACCCTGATTTGGATACATTATTATGGAACTTGTGTTAACCTTATTTGGAAATTTTGACGTAGTGTTCCCATTGCGGAACATACGAAGCCAGTTTTAATTGGACCAAAGTTGACATCAGGATAAGATCGATCCTCTTTGGATTTCTCCTCCCATCTACGCGAAATGTAAGCTACCGTCTTTGGGTTTAATTAAAAGTAAACATCCGTGGACTTACTTTGACCCTTCATGACCTCTCCATGCCACTCCAATACTACCTGTTGGTGTTGTGCCACTTAGACCTACTCGGCTTGTGTAGTGATTCAGCGATGGAGAGCGCTGCACAACCTTCAACCCCCATTGGCTTCAGCAGTGCTACTTCTTTTTCGACTTTAGCAGTAACCTCTCTAGACGCAATCCAGGTGATAAAATTATTACGGAAAATGGGAAACCTACTTCGCATTATTGACAGTAGATGCCGTAAGAGGGCCTATAACTCTTCAAGAACTTAAGCTGAAATGATATCAAGCAAAACAGAGTTTGCAATCGTTAAACTCGAAGTGGTAATCAGAAGATTTAGCCTCTAAAATCGGGTGTTACGAGGAGTTATCGTGTCCTCCTTATGGTTAAACGCCAGAAACAAAGAATCGTACCCACGACAACCCACCACGGAGTGTTGCCTCGGGAAGCCGATTACATCACACAAAAATACAGTTCCACTGAAATTGCATAGTTGTGCGCATCGAAGGACAATTTTTGACAGAGGATAAAACTAGATTTCTGTTAATCTTCAAATCTGTGGTTAGAACACTTCGTTATGCAGGGAAGTAAAACCGCCAAGAGAAATTCGAGAAAGTATTGCATAACATCTGTACTTTTGATGAAGTGTCTCTCCCCAGCACATCACCCTTTGCTTGCATATCTGCCTGACATCCGTATAGTGCATTGCGAAGAACAATAGAAAATATTTCGTTTTCATCTTCCTACCGAGGTAAGTGAGCTAATAAAACTGTCAGTAAAATACATTAAAGTTTTGATATTAATTTACTGCAAGGGTGAGCAGAATTTTGGCTGTTCACCAGTGCTAATGTAGTTATTCAATATGCAAAGCAGCAGAGGCCCAAATAGGCTAAAATCGACATCTTCATGGTCCTGTTCGCATTTCCCGAAGATCGAAAATTGAACTATTAGAGAAAGTAAACCAATCAGAGGAGAGGAGTGTTCAGTACCATTGGATAGAAGTTCACCAATCAGGTAGTCGGACTTATATTCTAGCATTGTGACCCGGTTATTGAGACGCATATAACGTATGTTATAACATACGATCAGGTCGGCAGCACATTACGCCTTTTAATTGTTTAACACACTGTCCACGAGGTCGTAGTCACAGTTCTCAAAACGTCGGTGGAACTCAAAGCTTTCCCATTAACTAGGAAGAATGCGGTCCAAGCGCTTTATTTAGCGAATTCGAACTCCTCGTCATCTCATGGTCGTATAGCGGATCTAAACAAATAACACTTTGAAGTCTGGATGACAAAACGGGTGTTTTAATGGGGTGTCAGCGCAACAAACAGGTGTCAAACGAAGTAGAAACTAAATTCCTTTTTCTCGACACCCCTATCGCGCAAATATCGAAGGGGAGTTACAAACAGTAAAACGGTGCAATTAACGTGCGATCTAGCGGAATGTATAATTTTATTTTTTAAATTATAAGTATTCATGTGGGATTCCTCGTGAGTTGGAAGCATAACACCTTGCAGTTGTTAACTCATGTAACCTTTCATTGTTGTTAGTGCAGATTAGTGCAATCCAAGTCACCCCAGTTCACTCCTGATCCACAGACAACGTGAATCTAGAGGTCATGCAGCAACTACACCGTGCACCTGTTTGTCACCTCACCTATACAGCTGTGTATGGCGAGAAGCACAGCTCTCAGCGAACGAAATCGCGCCTACTGCAGGCTTCGAACACAATTAACATGTTGCTGACAGCCCAACTGCCCAGTAGTGCATCCATATGAGGTGACAATCCTCACTCCACCATTACCACCGACACCACAGCTGCAGTAAGTCGTTCTGCTGACCATTCGCCGATTACAGACTGATTGTCCATCTGCTCGGCCGGGCTGAGGAATGAGAAGAGACAAATCGCCCAACAGATTCAGTCAAAACTACCACACAAGAACACGAGTATGTGGGCTTAAACGTCGGTATATATACGCTGGTTACTCCACGCTCGAAAGTTGTATGAATATGTTAGCATCGGCAACAACAACATGAAACAGGCACTCCTAGAATGGCTCAAGGGTGTGCTGACTACATCAACAGACCCTTTTATGTAAAAGGTGGTGGAAGTTGATGCAGCACTGCTGAGGCAGGAGGATGCCAGAATGCAGGAGAATGAAATGCAAAAGAAGGAACTTCCTTTGCAGCTTCCGATAAGCAGGAAAGTTCAACAATGACTTGCGTGGTGATGGTCATGAGACAGTTTGAAGGTGGACCAAGATGAGTCTGAGACGGGAACAGGCTGACGGCGAATGCATGGTGGTAGGCAGTGCATGAAATCAGATACCTCGTCTTCAAACTACACGTGAATCACCAGTGCGGTATGTAACTGCAGAATTACAGTGAAGTAGCGCTTCTTCAAAAGCAGCAAAACCGCAACCTCTACCAGAAATAACAAGTTTACAGGCAGATTAGCAAATGTTGACGATTAATAATAAATTTTTTATTCAACGTCAATTCTTAATTCCAATCGTTGATGCTTTCGCTGCAGCAGAAATCATAACTCCTCTTTCGTACCGCGGCCGTAATTGCTGAATTGCGTGTTTGCAGTTTGCCTTCACTAGTCGTATGTTTGCTGCTGTCTAGACATAGGGGCTGCCGGGAAGAATAATCCTCCCTTTCTTTGTCTGTGTGAATGTATGAGAAGGAAAGATATCTTAGAGAGATTAGCCGTGACTCATGCTCCTGTCACTGCTTCTATGCCTGGGGCAAAAAAATCGCTATTTGTAGTCCTTGCAGAGAATGAACAGGAGAAGGAAAAGCTAGCTGCGATCCTATTACTACTTCCATGCAGCATCAACGAAGTATCAAAAAGGCGTAATTGTGACATTTTAGCTTGTAAGGGCAAAGTCAGAAAGGGCACTCTTGATTACTTCTTAATTCGTGCGGAAATGATTTCTGTTTTCTTACAAACCGGCAGATGGGAAAACTACAACGCACTGGTGATTCACGTGTAGTTTGAAGACGAGGTATCTGATTTCATGCACTGCCTACCACCATGCATTCGCCGTCAGCCTGTTCCCGTCTCAGACTCATCTTGGTCCACCTTCAAACTGTCTCATGACCATCACCACGCAAGTCATTGTTGAACTTTCCTGCTTATCGGAAGCTGCAAAGGAAGTTCCTTCTTTTGCATTTCATTCTCCTGCATTCTGGCATCCTCCTGCCTCAGCAGTGCTGCATCAACTTCCACCACCTTTTACATAAAAGGGTCTGTTGATGTAGTCAGCACACCCTTGAGCCGGTTGACGCTTCAGTCGTGGGCAAGGGGATATCTAAGGTGCCACATAGCATTTAATGAATCCAACTTTATTGCATGCATAAAGAGGACATCATTATTTTCTTATCTACCTATCATTTGCCAATTTGTCTTACTTACTTAAGCTGTGCTTATAGTCAATCTTCGCAGTATTCGACAGTACTCCCACTCCATTACTTTTCTCCTTTCATACCTCTCATTCATTCGACCTCCAGCCGTCTCTGTGATCTATGAGGATGGCAGCAACCATTGGCGAACGAGGTTATAACCAAACTATTTCAAAAGTACAGGTGAGCAAGTTTCCGGATGTCCTCGGTATTTTTAAACTCGCACTCGTTCAATGCCTGTGAAGGTCTGTGGCACTTGGCCAGGGTGTCGAAATTGTCAGTTTATTCTACTGTCACCACGCCAATTTTGAAAGCGGCTTCATAGCAGGTCATTACTGCTCAACCACATTCAACAGGACAACTTTAGCCATCAATCCTTTGGACCGGCCTTCATTTACCCGATTAGAATTTCGATAGTTTGCAGTTTCTTTTGTAGTTAAGATATTACGTTCCAAGAATTAAAAGTAGATACCCTTTGGAAAATTGGAATTACATAAGCGTAAAAATTTGGAGCACTAACCTACACCTAGCTGGAACTACCAGGACAACACATAAGGACCTTTAAAGTCCGGCAGGTGATACGAATAAATGTTTTATTACAACTGTCTCACTTCAACTCAGTTTTTTGATGAATGAATGGATAAGCGTCGTACGAATGGGCTAACGAATGCGGTAAGGAGTCGAGGTGGGCTCAGGAAAATTGGGTAAGTTAATCCTTCAGCCACCCAGTGCCATGTCTCAGTGATGTCATCTATCTTCTCACCTTTTGCACTTCCGCTTTAATGTATTTTTTGCAAATGGTTGCATAAGAAAGTAAGTACAGAGGTATTGGTTTAATGTGGCAATAGAGAACTGCTCACTGTCATGAATTGCTAAAGCCTAGGGGTTGAATGCTGTTGTCGTATTAGGGACAGTGTGACACACATGATCTGATCCTTGGGCTCATTTCCTAGCTCGAGTCTCTACCTCACTTGAGTTAGGAGTAAAATTATGGAGAACCTTGAAATCCGCCATAAACATGGAACTTCATTCTGTCAACGGGTCCAAACGCTTAGCACCAACTTTTGTGCTTTCTTAAGTCGTTTACCATCCTCCTATGCCTTCCACGAGATTAAAAGTGTTTGTATTAGCTCAGGGACAAAACACTGTTGAATAAAGATGGGACGATTTAAGTATTTAATTGATTAAGTCATAAAGGACTCCAGTGCCAATAGTTCTCTCTCCTTTAAAAACATACTACTTAATTGAGATTTAAGTACAATGTCTTGACAGTACTGAACAAAATTGAATGCATGTGCGGATTTCATAACGTTTTTGTAACTTAGGTCTCTACTTTGGTTTCAAAGCTCCATCCAAACAGATCAAAACTAAGCAATAAGAAAACATTTAAGTGCAAACTATCTGGAAGGCTTCTCCACCGCAATAAAAATGGCCGCATATTTGTGCAGGCAGAAAGACAAATGGCAGTAGAATGAGAGATGATATCATTTTATACAGCATCAGTACACAGAGTGTAGAGGTAATTTTTTAGGCAAACACTTTTTGATCCCTTTTGTAACCTAGTCGACATTAACTGCAGACAGCCACATTGGTTAAGCGGACTACCTGTTACCAGCAGTGAAGGAATCTTTAGGATTTTAACATGAGCAAACGCAAGATTAGGAGAATGAATACCAACTTTTACAAAATCCCTAGTTTATCTATGACGTTTAACAATGCCATCCGCTATTATTTTCATTTTTTCTTATTAAACAATGTCATATTTCCTCCCCTTTAATGTCGAGCACATCGCATTGACCGTTATGACATAAAAAAGCTTTCCCAAAGTATATTCAGCTGGTGTACAGCCTTAATCTTTGCAGCTCTATACTCTTAGTACTTGCTCTTTGCATTGTTTTGCTTACTTTTATTCTGCATGAATCGAATGCAACCTCATGCTTCTAAAAGGCAAATTGGACCCATCAAGCCAACATAAGGTGAAATTGATGAGTTACTGGAACTCTCGTCCTCCTCCTCCTCCTCCTCCTCCCCCCCCCC